CCCTTGGTCCTTTGTTTCATTTATGTGATAAATTGCATTTCTTTTACCCCCTCCAGTTTCTCCCACTTGTAATGGAAATATCTACCATGTGCCTATTCCACCATTATACTTTGGAAACAGATAACTTGTAAAACATTTAAAATTCTAGGTATGCAGAGAAAATGTCTGGAAATACATAGTTGCTTTTGCAGGGTGGTGGGATTATGAGTGTTTTTCATTTTCGACTTTGCCTTCTAATGTATTTTTTATAATGAAAACATATGAGGGTAAGTCAAATAATATTTCAAATAGTTCTCCAGGTCACACCTGCATGGACTGGGTCTTATTCCAAACAAAAGGTAAGTTTAAACCTGTCTTTGTGATCAGTGCATGGCTGTGGACAAGTTCCATAAGAAATACACTTGTCTTAGGATATTTCACAAAAGGTCTTACTGAAATAATGTCTTCCGAGGGGATTTAGTGGCTAGTCAAATTCAAGGCAGATAAGTCAATACAGAAGGTTCTGTCTCCCGTTTGGGGGATTCCAGAGGATTAATCTCGATAGACACCCCCAGGGCTTATTCGGAAGTTGTAGGAAAGTGAGAAACTGCACTGGGGAGAGAAAGGCTGGGAAAACAGCGTCGCAACAACACGTCGCTCACTTTTGGGAAGAGTACGGGCTCCCCTATGAGAACTTGTTTGGGAAACTTATCCCATCTACCTACAGTCCAGATCCTACTCCTTTAGATTTCTGTGCGTGCCCCACGTTCAAAGAGTATTGAACAGGAAGTTCTGTTTTCCTCCATGCTGTCCAAACTGCCACTTGGCTGTGGTTGGCCGCACGCAGAGTTCTTTGGGGAGGGTCGCTCAAACTGCTCTAAGATGGACCAGGGTGTGCTCAACCACAATGTTGCCCGCATTCATTGCTGTTGGATCACTACCACTTTTGCAGCAGTGAGTCAATATCTCATTGTAATTTAGATATGCATCTCCCAAAAGTAGCCCGGGTGGCATAGTGGACTGTGCATTGGGCTGGTAAACACAAGGTCAGCAGTTCAAAACCAAAAATTGGGAGAAAGAGGAGGCTTTCTGTTCCTGTAAAGATTTACAGCCTCAGAAACCCAAAGGGTTAATCTGCCCAAATGGTCATTATGAGTCAGAATTTACTGAATGGCAGTGAGATGTT